ATTGCGTGTCTGTCCGCACCCTCAAGAGATTCACCGCTCTCCCCACTAGGCGATTTCTCCCTTCTTCGACCTTCGTTCTTTCCGTGCAATCCTCCTTTAAACAACCGTGGAGTTTGTGATTCATAAGTCCCCCGCTTAGAAACAAACTCTTCAAGCTTTGTTGCTCTTGAGATCATTATCGTTAGAAGATCAAGTGAGGGCGTCTTCTAACATTCTCCGGACTCGGGCATATGAAGACTGCTGATTTGTTTCGATGAATCGTCAGACTATGCCGATCCAGCATTGATGCCCAGGACCGCTCGTGTAATCAACACCATTTCATTATATACCAGATTAGTCCCCCGTCAACCGCCGGGACCTTCCTTTCCTGCGCAAGCTTTCTATCCTCCGCTATGGTCCCTTCCTCCTGTGACACCAACACCTCGTGGAAGTGACGCGTATGCAACACAATGGTGTTTCAACAGTAGAAGGGACACAATCATGATATGACGGTAGATTTTTCGCTTCCCTTCCTCATCCTCCCTTCCTCTCTCCACTGCCCTCCAGCTGCCACTGCAGCACCATGTGGAATGAACGGAAGTGTGCTAAGCAGGTGTTTATATAGCCCTAAGAGTGTTATCACAACTATCCTGCTACAAAACATTGATATCTCAAATCCTGTAAGCTACCCGATTTGTTAGCGGTTTGTTTATCCCATGAGCTTCCTTCTCACTCACTTCATTTTGCGGACGGACACACATACACACACACACACACACACACACATACAGATACACAAACCGACACACAAAGTTAGCGCTTTATAATATAGTAGATTCCGGCCTTGAACTAAAATTAAAACTACACATGATGTTCAGATATTTGAGGAGTCACTCGTATTATTTCTCTCAAGTTTGCATCAAGAGAGTATCTGTTAGCGACTTCAACTCTCCCCCTTCCTTAATTTTGCAAGACCTTCATTGCTTGCACTCCACGGCTGCACCCACGGGTGGTCTTTCCCGTGCTCCCTCCCTGCCTGTGACGTCTTCTCGAGTGTTCGATAACGCCGGCACTGCGTCCACCTCATATCCGATTGCATTTGCTGTCTCTAGCTCTCGCTGTTATGCATTTCACCCCTTGATCTCTCTTTCAGAGCCTGTTTTCCTTGACCTCATCACCTACGGTAACCCCACGAAAACAACGCTGCTGCTTCCCGCTGTTTCACTAAGCCAGTTGGAGTCCAGAAATCAAAGCTCACGATGAGGCGCCGAAGACTTTTGCGCTCGAGAGACCTCTCGCCGCTGTTATCGGACCCGATAACACGCAATGACGAGGACGAGTGAGTTACGAATGACACATCTCTCAAATGAGGCAGCGACGAGGTTGCGCTGCGCGCTGACGCCGTTTTTTGCTTTTATGGACCGGTTGTCTGTGGCCTTTTAGTACCACCCTGTTCCATTCCACTTCAGAATCGTCGTTGATTGGTCTCACCTCTGTATCATGATCGCATATGCTCTTCGGTGCAATGCTTAGGTTTCCATGGTAATTGGTCACCAACAGGCTTTCAGACATCGTTTTTATCCTCATCTGTGCGTGTTTTGGCATTACCAGCCATGGCCTCCCAGCATTCTATGGCTTTCATAACAGCTCTTCCTCCAGGCCTCACTAGAATTGAATCTATCCTGCCTCCCACTGCATTTTATATAACAGCTGTTCACTTAAGAAATTCCTCTGTGGTCTATGAACAACTATGGCGCACAGCATGCGCCCTGTATCGATCCATTCTGGACCACATTATAGCGAGGTGGCCATCAGGGTTAACCCTACGTTGCTACAAGTACCAACGAGGTGGGGGGTCGTAGTTTGTTGAAGTTTGTGATGGGGGGTCGTAAAAATTTTGCAAAATGTACCAACGATAGGATCGACCCTGGTGACCATTCCCACAAATCCTTACAGTATCAACTTTGCGCTACAGGACCGAACGGACTCCCCACCCCTCCTTCGGTCACAGCATGAAAAACGCCTGTCCTACCTTTGCCCTGATGAAAAGACGGCTTCGGTCTGCTCCAACTGTGAAGGCTTGGCCACTGAAGTAGGCAGAATGACAGTTCATCCACAGTATCGCTCGGCCAGTATATTTGGCTTTTCTGTGAGCCATGTGGTTTTTAAGTATGCTAATGTATGGCCTATAGAATGAGTACAAAGACCTTAGGAATAAGTCGCACAAGCGCAAGAAAAAGGGATGACTTGGGTGGGACGCGTTACCGCGTCACAATGTCCCACGAGGTGCGCAAAGTGGGACGCGTTACCGCGTCACGCTGTCGTCAACGTGTTAAAAACTAAAACATTGGCTTAAGTTCTTTTCCGAAGTCTCTCCAGTGTCATGGGCGTCCCATCCACATATTCTTCAAGAAAAGCTAAATTCGACTGCTGACCTTGCTTCTGGTGTTCATGCACGGATTTCGAAAGCCAGAACACCCATAGGCAAGGTCGGATTCGATAGGACGAACTCGTGTGCAAAGCGAAATGTCCGGTGAAAATAAAAATTACCAACAGCGAAGCGTCGGCATTCGCGTAGACACCGCTCCGTCCATAAAAAAAAAACTCTGTCGCGCCGAAAGAAAAAAAAACCATAAAAAAGAAAAACATACTCACTGAATTTTGACTTTATAAACGCTCTTATATGTGGAAATCAATTCTAGAATTTATTGTCAAGTATATTATGTAAATAAACACATATGCAGACACCTAATTAAAACTAACAAACTTTTCAAATCAACAACGTTAATTTGCTATTGATTCGGCAAATTTTAAGGAACACTCTACTATCAGTATGTGAGGTCGTAGCTAAGTCTCATTCCTACCTGACTCATCTCCTTCTTACACACATGGGATAGGGAGAGCATCTTTCGTGTTACGAGTCTCCATCTATAGAGCAGACGTACAGAAACCGGAGATATAGTTAGCGCGTTTGTTAGTCCCACCCTCAAGTAACCCAATTCTTGAAAATAGTAACAAAATATCTTATATAGAGTTTGAAAACACCATCCAGAAGCGAAGAGGAATCACAAACTTTCAGTGTGTCAAATAAATATTAGATAGGCGAGCCACAACATAAGTTTCATTTTTAGCAAAAAAAAAACAATAAAAAGCATAAAATTGATTCTTCGACCTAAACGTCCTCTTCTTTTTCCCATGCTCCCACGTTCTTTTTTCCCTCGGAGCACTTACTCAAAGCCGGTCTTTGAGCGTCCCCGTAGAACCATAGAGGCTTCCCACCACTCAGTATAAACTTGATTTCAAAACTGTATACTCATTTGGGACCTTTGTGAAGGTTGACGCCATCTTCAGATTTTTCTCTGGACATCCATTTTGACCAGCTGGATCAATGCGTAGTGGCTAGATGTGGGCGTTAAGGTCGTCAGTAAACTCATGATTCTCAAGGCATTCACCCCAATCGTTCAAGTAGGCTCCCTCATGGTCACTTATGACGTCCGTGCCATTCAGGCTTGTTTGCAGGGCTTAAATATCTGCACATCAATGGTCTCATAGAACCATTATGAGGCTAAGCCACATGAGCAAATATCATGCGAAATCTAAAATACTAAAGTTAAACGCGAGGCGCATCTCAAAAGGATTGGTTAACGTCAAGTGCTTTATCCATTTGTTATTCATGATCGTATCGTCTAGAACGATCTTTCACAAGCTTAACTAAAACGAAGCTCAGACGGGTGACGAAACGCGCACTGTCATAGAAACTGGGTCGAGTTCTAAGAAGGACTGAGCGAGGATTAGGGGCTAACGAAAGGGTAGCTGATCAACAGGCAGCAATTCACCATCGCTCAGGATTTATGGGGCAAAGTGGAACAGAAGAGGCGCGAATAAGGTCAACACTCGTTCTGGTTCCTGGAACCTTGCAACTGACACCTTTCCTGCGCAATAGGGCACATCGATGTTTAGCTTTTATGGGTTCGTCTCATATCCGTGGTGAATTAGACCGGTTTCCAGGTATGATCCAGCCTTCCAAGCAGGCGCCAGCCCCACCACCAATATGCCCTGAATCATTTTCGTTATGCTGTCACTTTTTCGTAGCGCCAGAATAGCACAATAAATAACCCTTGAGTGGTTCGGTTTCTATGGGCGACAAAGAAATTGAGAAATGTCCACATTGCACACGTCCCGATATAAAGACATATGGTATTCGTGTTGAAATTTGTGACGCTCCAATTCAGGAGGAATCAATTTCTGTACTTTCAGTGTATTCGATGTCCTCACTTGGGCCGTACCCTTTGGGATTAGCCTAATGCCATGCATTTTCTAGAATGATGAAATACATTATTCGAGGTAGAGCCTGTTGTCGAGTACTGACAGTTGAAGGACATCCACTACCCTCGTTTTCTCATGATTTCCTTGATAATTTGAATTTTCTCAATGGTTTCTCATGATTTTCTATAACAGTGTATGAAAAAATTGACGTTGGACTCTCTCCTTCAGCCTTGATACATTTAACTATTTCTTTTTTCTTATCATATTTTTCAATTTTTTGGTCAAAAATCCTCACCTACAAAAGTCAAACGGTTTATAGTCTCACATTCCGAGCGCCTCTTTGTTAAGGGTACCAAAAAATAACTCTATACAAACAGTTGCTGGCGCTCACGTCGTTGGGGAGGGGGTGGGGCGGGAGGGAAGAATTCAAGTGAGTGAGCCAATTATTGTCCTTGGGACTAACGATAAGCCTTAGGGAGGGAGTGGATTATGGGGGAGGCTGAGAGCAATTTGTGTTCTCCCTGGCCTTTCTCCCTCTCCTAAGCTTGTGGATAGTCCTAGCATCACCTAAGATAGGTCTGTTTCAAATGCCCCCACCCCCTCACAAGAAAAATGACGCGGACGACATGAGTGTCCCTAAAGCTCTATATTGCCCGGTTGTAAGATGCGAGCTGGCTTGGTGCAAGCCGCGCTGATTATACCGCACGCGTTCCGGTGTTCCAGTCCCAATCCGCCTAGGGCCACCGCTGATTCACCCGTCCATACTGGTGATTTTGGAAAAGTGCATTGTGCATTGTCTGGCCTCGCTAGGACTTTTTAGACCCACATTCCAATGAACCCAGATTCGGTGTAGAAGTGGTGCAGACTTTCCTAAACACGAAGTAACCCGAGGAAACTGCCTAAATGCCCATTATCCTTGTTCCTCATAGAACAGGACTGCCTTTGTCCCATATAATGATCTCGATGCCTAGTACGAACTTATATATTATTATTATTATTATATATTATTATTATTATTATTATTATTATTATTATTATTATTATTATTATTATTATTATTATTATTATTATTATTATTATTATTATTATTATTATTATTATTATTATTATTATTATTATTATTATTATTATTATTATTATTATTATTATTATTATTATTATTATTATCCTGATTATGGAAAGAACTTTATTAAGCGATCATATGCTGGCCTCTGTCCGCTGACGCGATTTCGTTTGCGAGGATATCATATGTATTCAGAAGCATTGCCCAGCCGCGATCATTGAACATCTCGCCATTTTACTGGTGATTTCCCGATATTTTGTCCGGAATTTCGGGGTTAATCTGAGTGAGATCATGGAGCATCAAATCACGTTCCCGGGAAAAAAGCGCAGCAAAAACCGATTTATAATGCATATTCGTCTGGCGAAATAAGCTTACTATCTCTTCAATTCTGTTTGTGACTCAGCAAAAGGAGAAAGATATCAGCAATTTTTGTATCTCACTCGTACACGCTTAAAAGATATCTAGGCCGTCCATCACCTAGGAGTGAGTCATTTAGGTCCGTACAAGTCCGAGTGCGGTGAATGATCGGAATTGAGCGCAGGCTATCATTTACAATTCACTCAATAGAAGCTACTGAAAGGCTGTGAAGGAAGAGGTTTGGAAGGACAAATATCTCGACGGTGGTCATTCCTCTTTGGAGCCCACCATTCTACTTGCCGTCATCAGTCGTAGTGTTAAGTCACAGTTCCTCAGATATAAGTGTTGGTGCAGTCATTTATTATTAGCTGATTTACACCCATCAACAAGAAGTATTACTATTTTTCTTCCATAAATAGCATGAACTCTAGAACATCTATGAATTAGAAATAAACAAAGTGCGACCGCGTTGTAATTATCCTTTTATCGGACAGCCTTGGATATTGATTCGTACCCCATCCTATCCTATCTCTAAAGCGGGCAGCTGCCTTCCGACTAGCGTCCCATCTTCTTCCTCACGCGAACAGATTCTTGATATAAGACTAGCGATGGCCGTGGCGCCGCGCGGCGATTCACTTAGCTAGATCAGTTTGCTTGCGGAAGGGCCACAGTTCTGCGCTGAACCTCTACGCGCTTAATCTCTCTTCGAAGCTGAAGTGGAGCGAAGGAAAAGTGATGAAGCATACGTGAGGTTTCGACATATTTGAATGACATATGCCTATACAAGCGCTGTAGTGCTAGGCCGACGCTCACACGCGAAGTCGCGGATCAAATCACTAGGTCGCCCGGGCCAACCAAGCCTTCCATCCCTCCGGGGTCGGTTAATTGGTACCAGACTTGTCTGGGAGGATAAAAACACTGACTTACATCGGCTGGCCCCCGCAAGTCATTGTATAGGCCACATCGCATTCAAACGCCACTGCGAATGTACAAATGGAAGTAGAATGCGTGCCGCATCCCAAAAAGGGATTGATCAACGGCAAATGCTTTATCCTTTATCCTTTAAAACAGGAGAGACTATTCTGTGATACGGTTTTATCGTCTAGACAATCTATCATCAACAGAATGTCTCGGAGAGACGGTTGCCTTGTTGATCTGGGTGGAAATCGATTCGAAATTTCTCTTCGGATCGTGCGTGTGGCAAGTGGCACCACTTACCACTTCACCATTTCTGCCCTTCTTTAATAGCTTCGATAGAAAATTGTAGGTAGCTCGTCCGTTCCAACTATTGATTTCGGATAATAATCCTCTCTTTCGAAGGAAGTCGCGGGCTAAAATTGGTGTCGTAAGCGCGCTTCATAGTGATGGATGAGCTGCGGAGTAAACTGAAAGTTCAAATGAAAACATGAGAAGGTCATCGCAAAAACTGGTCGCCCTTGGTAAAAATAACCACACAAATTCACTTGAGTTGGGGCGCCCACTAAAAAGCCTAACCCGATTGGCTTTTTAATGCGGTCCTTTCAGCGATACTTAAACCATGAAACTGTTGCGCAATTTGAAGAATAAATCAGGCCTATTGCAAGATGCGGGGGCAGCCTCTACGTTCAGACAGGTCAACCCTACGTTGCTACAAGTAACAACGGGGGGTCGTAGTTTGTTGAAGTTTGTGGTGGGGGGTCGTACTTGTTTCGGTAGCGCGAAATTACATGTGATGAGGTGAGAGCGCGCGGGAGAAAATTTGCCGTTTCAGCGTGCGTATATATTCCCCTCGCCGGTGAGTAAGCAAACCAGCCCTTTCTGCGTTCGCTGGGACGTAGCTGATATGATGGGAGGGATGGTCTATTTTTTTTGCTCAAAAAACAATTTATTTCTTTTTGTTGTTTACGAACGGTCGACGGTTTACTTCAACTCGGTTGGTACGATAGGAGAGTACTGACGCAAGTGGTGCAGCTGGTCCAGCAGCTCCGCCAGAAGGGCTGGTTTGCTCACCCCAGGACTAAGCCTTGGAGAGGGGACGGACCCGTCCTCTCTTTAAGGCTTAGTTCTGAGGTAAGCACCAAATTGTGGCGGTTCTAAGGACCGAGTTAAAGTGATCCGTCCACCCCGGGCACTTCATCCCTTCCCAAAATCAGCATACGGCTCCCAGTCCGAAATGCGCACAATAAGGCTTTGCTTAACGTCGACTGCTTTTTCCTGAACTGTCTACGGAGGGGGGGAAGGCAACGTCGAGCGTGGTTAGTCGCGTCCGATCTGGCAAGTTAGACACGTTGAGCGTGGTTAGTGGCCTTTTTTTGAAAAATCACATCCAGTTGCCGTGAGACTTGTAACTTATACATACACACATACACACCACATACACAACATACAAGCTCCGCCCACTGCGCAAACCCGCCCTCTAGTTTAAAAAAGTCCGAGGAGCTACAGACGATGCCGCCTTACAGCAGCCCAGGAAGGGGCAGGAACTAAATGAGTGTTCTCGATCCTGAGATTCCTCCCTGCCTGCCAATGACAGCCCAGTTTCGAACTAAGAGGAGATGTTTCACATTGTTTTCAATGCATTGCGACTACAATGCTCCCATATATTACGATAGCGCTTAAAATCACCTCTAAGTTGTAAGTTGGTCGTAAATGCAGAAAAGGAAGTTATTTGCTAGCCTTTTTCTCTTGCATGCAATCGATTCAGCCCACTTCTGTTCACAAACTGGTTCGGGTGTCTATGCAAAACCAACTCTTTACTCTCAGCTGTTGTCCCCGTTCTTGAACTGTTCGTACTTTTTACACAAGCAGAAGGCTGACGAAGTCCTGACGCGTGCACCGCCCTCTGCCGAACAATCGTCGGGGCTCAGTTCATTCATAATATGTTTGCTCAGGGAACGAGTGTCGATATTTGGCTCTTACATTTATGGACCTCGATTTCGACATTTCTCGATTACGAGTAGAGATTCCATTTGAGAACTTTTAGGTCATATAAGGTCTTTATTTTCTACCGAATCGTTCACACTTTTTAAGCGTTGAATTCGGCGACATTTCTTCGTGCTTTTCTCTTCCTGTTGCGGATACAAATCAATAAATGCAAGTAATTTATTTTCAGAATCGAAAATGTCTGCTGGATTGGCAGTGAATCGACCGTCAGCAGGTTTGTGTCCGCTAAATAACACTTTTTCATATTTGTCAAAATAACTTGTTTTGGTCGATATCCGGGCAGGTTTTTGCTTAAAATGCGGGGGCAAAATAACAAAATCTTTGTTTTTCTTCAAATTCATTGTTTCGTGGTCGATAAATTGCAGAGGGATTTTGTCAGCTGATTCGTTGCTGAAGGCCCCGTTGAGGGAGGAGGACGCTGAGGGCATTAGGCTCTTGTAAACAATCGATTCGTAACTTGCTGTTCTCTAAACATTTTCGCAAAGTGACCAGGACGTTGTGGAGATTTCACTTATGGGTTCCTTTTGTGGATATGAAAGCAGCAAATTTATATAGCTTTCCAGAAAAACATTTCTGAATTTTAAAGTCCCTTCACTCACTAACGTTCGGGTTTCTACACTTACATTTTCCGGAGCTATCGCAGGATTCGGAGGCATATTTCAGGACTGAAGTGGGGACAGGAGCATAAGGGGAAAGGAGATTACCACGCACCTGGAGCCTGTTCTACCCCTTTCAACTCCTAAGGGTTATACCCGTTTTTTTAACGAAAAGCAAATGCTTTACGCGGTTCCAGGTGCATTGCCAACACACTCTCGTATCTTGCGATAGCGCCGAGTTTCCTTTTTTATCCGAAATTCGTTTTTCGCCGGGTAAATAATGTTCATCTATACCAGTACAGGATTCTCTAACTACAAGCAAAGATTAAAAATCTGCTTTCTGCAATTTTCTGCAAATGGAAATTCCAAAAATTGGGTTCAATTTGAATTCCAGCCTAAACCTAGACCTGCTGCCTATGTCCTCGATCTGACTTGTGATGTATTTTTGGGGCTAGGCCCTATAAGGGGGGAAATTTGTACTAGTACAGGATTCTCTTACTACAAGAAACGATTAAAAATCTGCTTTCTGCATTTTTTGCAGAAAGAATTTTGCAGGAGCAGCAGACGTCCTTCACTCCTCTTTTCACGATATGACGCCATCTGACGTCACCATCGAGCATAAGGGGGGCTTACAGTAGTTGCTCAGGCTTGAAGCCGCTACATGATTTCTTCTATCGGTTATTGATGGATATCTTCCCAGAGTAGGGTAGTCTTGAATAGCGAGACCGCTTTTGACCAGCGTTAAAGATAGGTTCGTAATGGTCTACGATCCGTCAAGAACCTCGTTGAGGTTTAGTCGTGGAGCAATTTTCCGTAGGAAAATTTTTTGTTATCCCCGTGAAAGGCTGCTTGTATC